AGGGGGTCTGCATGAGGAATTTGAGTTGTGAATGGTCATTAACATATATTTTGTTTCCAAGGGTGGGAGAGGTCTGAGGTGTGAATTGGTCATTACAATGTGTGACAAGCTTGGTAGGAACATCCTGTGTTCAGTGTTTAGTCCATTTGAGTACCTTGAAAACGCTTTGCATGCATTTTTCATGATGAAAAAAGGCTCTGGACAGCATCAGGAACTAGAAAAGTAAAAAAAAAAAAATTTCAAATGCAACGCTTATAAATGCGATTTGCCGCGGTTACAAGCGTTTTGCATTTGAAACGCTGATAAAATCGACTGCTGAACGCAAGTTTTCTGCGTTCAAAAAAAGACTGTAAACTCAAATGCCTGTAAATGAAGATGTGTACATGGAGACATAGGAAAACATAAGGGAGAGTTCAGGGGCTGCTGAAAAAAAAACGCAGAAAAGCTCCTGAACGTCAGTTTATCAGCTGCAGTGTACATGAGCCCTTAGCAGAATGCTGCTTTTCCGTGGCCCAATAAAAAAAATGCAAACAATACATAAAGCAACCGTGGCCTTTGTGAACCTACTTTGCATGTGAACATGGAAAATGGTGGGGAGGCTGTAGGGTTTTTTTTTTTTTTTTTTTTTTTTTTTTTTTTTTAAGTCCGCAAACGTGCAACTATATCGAAAAAACCCGTAAGTGTTCGCAAAAAAGTGCAAGTGCAAAACACCACACGAAAAACGTGCACTTAGGGGTGTGCTGTGTCCTACCCCAAAAGGGGCTTGGACCGCTGTCCCTGATCCCCCGGGGCACGAAGCTCCTGACGGGGACTAGGTTCCCACTTGGTCCTCCTGACCAAAAGGCCGGGTGGACCACCGTTCCCTATGCCAAGCCGAAGCCGGACATTCAGTACTAGGCAAGGGGACTCTCCCGAAGGAGAGTCCTCTAGGGATCAGGGGAGGAAGGAACCGTATGGCCACACATCCTCCCCCTAGACTTCAGGGTAGGCCCGAGGACCCACACCCTCCATCCGTGAAAGCACACACATAAGAAAGCAAAAAGTGACAAACGTGGGAGTGTAATAAATTAAATAAGGAAAGTAAATAAAATAAAAAAAAGGTACCGTGCCGAAATGTGCACAGACCAGGCCCTGAGGCCCGTAGCAAAAATTGCCCTGGACTTAGCCAAAAGACCTGGTCCTTAGGGCGCTGTGCAAAAAGAAGTGAAAAAACAGTGGCCATGTGTCATCTTCACACCGTGGGGTCCCACACCCAAGTGTTACTAGTGACACCCCTGAGGGCGTCTTCCCCAGGGGGCACTGAGTTTGCGGACTTTTTGCGTCCCCGACCCCAGGCCAGACCAAGGTAGCATGCTCAAACCAGGAGGAACTGGGTCTTTCCGGTCTCCCCAGGGAGGCTGTAGGGTTGCCAGACTTTCCAGTGGCAGCCACATCTCAGTGATTTACTATGAGTGGGTCAGAACAGCATATCACATATTTACTATGTAGAAGGAAGCTCATAGATGAATTTGGTTGATATTTGACTGTTATAGCTGTACAGGGTATAGTTGCAGGTGACCCTGCGGGGGTACCCCTCATATCCTTGCAAAACTGTCAGAAGCATTTGCAGCAATAACAGAGTCTGAGCTCTTGTTGTTTGGCTGGAAAATCTTGTCTGATCAATTGAATCTTGGCTTCAGTTATACAACCACAATAACAAACTTGCTGAACATCACTATACAGTATTTTCTATGGAAAGGGGCAATCACACATCAGCTCTGACCAGCTGCATGATAACTGATGTCTGCGGGGTCATCTTTATCGCTGAGATGCTACAGATCCTTTGAGGAGTCAGTGCCATGATGTGTGACAGTCATTATCAGGCCCAAGGTGGTCTAACGCCATACCACACAACCAGGGGCGGACTGACCATTTGGAAACTCGGGCACTGCCCGAGGGCCCGGGGTCAGTAGGGGGCCCCATGAGATGCCCCCTGGTACCTTTTTCATAGGTTTTGAGTTTGGGCAAGGACACAGGGGCCCCATGATCCCCTATTGCCTTGGGGCCCCATGAGTTGTCAGTCTGCCCCTGCACACAACAAAGCTTTCTAATTTTCTGCCCACTCTAGCTCACTTGGTCATTATATTTCAATCTTTGTGTAGTTTATAGGCGAGCGCTGGAAATTAATCAGCTAGCACAAAGGTAAAGGTAACGACTCCTTGTAAAATATGGTATAAAGTATAGCGCTAAGTAAATAAATCAAATAAATAATTAAATAAATATTGTGGGGGGGGGGGGGGGGAATATATTTATTAATATATGTATTTAATTATTTAATTATTTGTTTTATTTATTTACTTAGCGCTGCACTTTATACCATATTTCAATCTTTGCAGTAAACACACAACACATTTTGCTGTACTGTACTTTTATTGGTCACAGTGGTGACAGTTTCATATTGATATACAGGCCTGTGGTGTATATGGGGTGATATCATCAAGTTATTTTTCCCATAAGAACAAGTGATTCTTGTCTTCATCTATTAATACTGGTTGTGGTTTTCCGGAGGGTTAGCCTGTGAGAAGTGGTGATTGCTATGTGTTAGTGCTGATACCTGTGTGGGAAATGTTTATATCTTTCCTGTTATCAAGGCGGAGCAGATAATGGACCTGATTGTTTGAATAAAGAAGTAAATTGACTTGCTATGTGGAAAAGTGAGCAGACTGTGTTATCAGGACAGGACAGTGATTGGGCCTGTCTGGCAGGATGGAGCAATATGTAGATCCTTCCCTCAGGGTGGAGTAGTAAGTGATCCCATCCCTCAGAATGTAGCATCAAATGGACCTAACAAATAATTTGGAGTACTGAGTGGTCCAAATTATTGAAACAGCTACCAGTGGCCTTGAAAATTGAGGTTGAGTAGCATGTGGGCCCAATTGTTGGAATGTAGCAGTGAATTTAACCAGCCTCCAGGACAGAGAAGTGAGTGGACCTGTCTAGAGGGCTAAAACAGCAAGAAGACCCTGCTGGCTGGATGGAACAGTAAGTAGACCCTGCTGGCTGGATGGAACAGTGAGTAGACCTTGCTGGCAGGACAAAGCATCAAGTGGACCCAACTGTTGGAACAGAGAAGTAAATCAAGCCTCCTGGCGGGATGGAGCACTGAGTGTACCAGGTTGTGGGAAGTAAATGTACTGTAGCTGGCTGAGGGGACAGAGCACAAAGTGGTCCTGGCTCGCAGGGTAGAGAAGTGAGTACATCTTGCTGTTGAGACAAAGCAGCATGTAGACTTGGCTGGTGTGGAGTAGACCAGCTGTCAACATGGAGCAGTGAGTGGACTTGGTTGTCGGGAAGGAGCAGTAAGTGGACCCTGCTGTGGGAACGAAGTAGTGAGTGGGCCTGACTGTCAGGAGGAAGCAGCACCCAGCTTTGTGGATGGAGCAATGAGTGGACCTAACTTTAGGGACAGAAGAGCAAGTGGACCCAGCTGTGGGGATGGAGTAGCAAGTGCTATGAGGACAGAGGTGGCGGAGTAGAGCAGCGATGCAGAGAGTGACCTGGCTGTCAGGACAAAGTACTAAGTGGGCCAAAATATTGAAACCGCTATCAATGGGCAGGATTTTGAGGTGAAATAGCATGTGGAGCTGACTGTCAGGATGGAATGGACCAGTCTGTTGGGACATAGTAGTGAATGGACCCATCAGTCAGGACTAAACGGCGTGTTGTGTCAGGACAGAGCAGCAAGAGGACCAAAGTGTTGGGATGGAGCAATGTGTTAACCCGGCTGGCGGGACAGAGCAACAAGAGGACCCGAGTGTCGGAATGGAGCAGCGTGTTGACCCAGCTATCAGGACAGAGCAGGAATTGGAACCAGCTGTCGGGACATAGCAGCAAGTGGACCCATCTGTCAGGACAGAACAGCAAGAGGACCAGAGTGTCGGGATGGAGCAGCGTGTTAACCCAGCTGTTGGGACAAAGCAGCAAGAGTACCCAAGTCTTGGGACGGAGCAGCGAGTGGACCTGGCTATCAGTACGAAGCAGCAAGTAAACCCATCTGTCGGGGCGGAGCAGCAAGTGAACCCATCTGTTGGGATGGAGCAGCGAGTGGACCCAACTATGGGTAAGGAGGAACCAGTGAGCCTTGCTGTTCAGACAGAGCAGCAAGTGGACTTGACTGTCGGTCAGTCCAGTGGTCCAGGCTTTGACACCGATCCATAACTGGATCTGGTTCTTGGGACAGAGCACTGAGTGGAGCCTGTGGTCAGGACTAGAATGGTTTTACTGCATAGAGGAAGTATAGCTGGCTTAGATATGGACATCTCATAAAAGCTACTTACTAGTGAAGACATCATAGTTCAGTACAAGATCCTGCAAGCATTATCAAGCTTCAGGTTTCTAATAATAGTGCCAGTAAAGCTCTCCTCTACTAATTTTACATACATAGGATATCTAGCAATGTAATCCTCCAGCTACAGGAAGCAAGAGTCCAGAGACCTCAAGAAAATCCTAGAGAGGACTGCATAGAGCTGTGCTTTGTGGGTATTTAGCTGCACACAGCAAAAATGAAGTATTAGTCACGCCTTATTGGAAGGATTTGATATAAATACCAATCTAGAGGTCTGAGGATACAAAGCCTACACTGGTGATGGTAAAGCCTATCTGCTGTTATACGATAATAAGAGACCTATCACAGTGTCTACAGACTGATCTTTATTAATGCAAACCTGATCTGCCAGTGTGGCACTGTAAGAGCCATTTGTGGTATACACTATGAGAGTAATCTTTATGGCTTAGCCTTTCAGGACAAAGCTGGGAGGTTTAGCTACAGATATGTTATTGCATTTATGTCGCCCTCAGTGCAGAACCAGAGGGTTTAGCTAGTATTCAGTGAAAGCAGACGACAAACTACAAAGTGCATTCACTATAATTGTGCCGCAATCAGATTCCCTCTGATTATACACGCAGTGTGTTGTGCTATAGTCTAAGGTGAAGGTGCCATCTGAACTTCCAGGATCCTTTCATCACTTTTCCTTCACGTGAGGCACAAGAACAGCCAGAATCCATCTCTTTCCAAAGACACTTGTCAAGTTGTCAGCCCAGCGGATGGGGCTAGCTTCTGCTCCTGGGCTCTGGTGACAGGCCGGTCCCCTGGATATGAGCAGCAGCTGGTGAAAACAGAAGGCAGCACAGGCTATACCCACCCCAAACCAGAGATAAAGCATGAGGACGGCCAACATTTCCGAGCTGAGAAGGGAACCTGCAGACAGAGACAGAGACAGGCTGTAGACTGGCCAAGAGGTGGTCATAATGGTGGAGGACATGGGGATGGTGTGGACAGCCAGGTGTTGTTAGATGATTGAGCTCTAGAGTAGACCATGATCAGAAACAAAGACAGAGGCGGTGAAAAGATGAGACAGACATATGACAGACAGCATTCAGAGCCAGGACCAAGCTCTCCTACCCCACTTCTATAAATAGAGGCCAGCTCTTGGCTGGGTCCCCATGTGTCATTGTCATATGAAGGCACAAAACTGGGGCAGCGTTTATCAATGTCACGGAACACAAGACGATTTAACTGCTTCTATTCCTGGCACTAGTGAGAGTATATCTAACCCCCCCCCCCCCCCCCCTACATGTGGTTTGATGTCTAATCTGCACTTTTCACAGTGTAAGCTTTTATCTTTGCTAAAATACACTTCCAAAACATCCTTCTAAGTAATTCTCCAATCTCTACAAATTAGATGAATAAACAGATGATTTGATTGTACCATCTGCTTCTGCGTCATATCTAGAAAACATAATTACATTTACACATAGATGTTCTGGAAACAGAAGCGGATAAGCTAGATATGAAAGAGGATTAACACAAGTTAGCTTCTATGACTATCACTGGTGGCTTAGTCTCAGTCCTGACTTCTGCCTTCAACCTAGAAATGGATCTTTACTTATATTGACAGGAGGGCTAGGTTATTGCAGGGTTTTTAACTGTTCACGAAAACTGAACCCGACCACACCTGTCAGAGCTTAGTTTATTGAGTATTACCAATTCACACATTGCCCCAAAACTGAGCCCAGCCACCTGCTTATCAAGAGAAAGGCAGAACTTATATTTCCTTCACAAAATACCCCGGTACCCGGTATGTACTGCCGCTGTCTCATTATATCCAAAAGGACCTGCAGCTGTACTGACTCTGGTGTACAGTGGGAGGGAGGGGGGGATCTGGAAGGGAAGAATAGAGCTAGGACACTCATATTTGGGGGTTTAAAACTTAAAGCAGAACTATGGGCAAAACTTTTCATTTTAGATAGAGCAAGGGAGGGTCATAACCCCTGTCAGATTTTGTTTCTGCCATTTGTGTCCTATTGCAGAGATTTACCTTCATTTCTCATCGCATAGCCAAACAAGACCTGAGCGGAAATCCATGCAAATTAAGGGAATACCTAGGAGACCCCCAGGTCACCAGAACTAGTGTTGGAAGATTTCCCCTCTATTACTTTTCTGGGGACAGCCCAAAATTTGGGATTTTTTTTTCACTTTCGATGATAATGGTAAACAGGACAAATAGAGGGGGTGAATGTCCTTAACGGAGGGGGGGACACAGACAGCAGTAAAAACTGACAGATGTACTAATCCATCTTCACTCTGTCCAAAACTAAAAACAAAGTTTTGCCTTTAGTTATACTTTAAGGAATGGTTTATTTCTCCTTGTGAGAGACACAAATCCTCGAACTGACAATCTCCATCTTGGTGCTGTTGCTAGAGCTATTGGCAGCCTTAGGATGCATTATTTAGTGTAGCCTGGTACAGAAAATGTCAGTCTTTCTAACAAAAAAGTTAGTACTTAGTGTGAGTACATACAGTCCCATTTTAATAAAGTAGCAAAAAGTTGTTTCCGCCAGGACTTCTTGGGATTCAGGGCCCACTACTGACTGTGATGGCATTTGGATGGTGAGGCTGTTGTGAACTTCTGCCCAGATTATGCACACTGAAATATTCCAAACAAGCACTTTTAATCACCTCTTTAGCTGCAGGCATTGGCATTTTGGAGAAATTCATTTTCAAAATTCCCAAAAGAGGCACTGAAATCACGGCTCCTTTTCCTTTATTTTCTATGGAAAGCAGAATCTTGGCAACCTGCCAATGCACAAAGCAGGGGCTCTAAGCTGTTAAAAACTGTCTGAAACGAACTTAATAATCTATATTGTGCCAATTGTTGATTAATTACTTCCTAGTTCATGCAGCTAAAGAAGTCAGGCTAAAATAACTCTAAAATCCACAAGAAGCCTTCAATTTATGACCAGTGGAGGTTACTCAGAAGCAGGGGCGGACTGACCATTTGGGAACTCAGGCACTGCCCGAGGGCCCAGGGTCAGTAGGGGGGCCCATGAGATGCCCCTGGTACCTTTCATAGGTTTTTTTTGGGTGTGGTTTGGGTGTGGGCGAGGACATAGGGGCCCCATGATCCCCTATTGCCTGGGGGCCCCATGAATTGTCCGTCCACCCCTGCTCAGAAGCAACATGTTCTGAGAGCCGCAAAGCAGGTGATTGTGAGGGAATGATTGTCTAACACGTTACTGATAGCTGAGGTTAATTTCTGTTTGCAATGGATTCTGATTAATGAAAAACTTACAGCTAAATTACAAGCAGGGGCGGACTGACAACTCATGGGGCCCCCGGGCAATAGGGGATCATGGGGCCCCTGTGTCCTTGCCCACACTCTTAAGCACACCCAAAAAAGCCTATAAAAGGTACCAGGGGCATTTCATGGGACCCCCTACTGACCCCGGGCCCTCGGGCAGTGCCCGAGTGCTCAAATGGTCAGTCTGCTCCTGATTACAAGGCACCACAATGAAATTTATTCTGATCTGGGACCCCTGGATTTCCCCTTGTCTTCCAGAAAATTTTGTCCGCTGTCTACTTGAACTCTGAGCTGCAGGGTCGATTTGGCCAAGACCCCTCTGTGAAGATGTAGAGCATTCCTGATCATCTCTACCTCCTTTCCCCTTCTCCTCCCCTACCCTTCTCTTCTTCCTCTCTACCCCTTCTTTTAATATCTATTCTTCTGTCCTTATTACCACGGTTAGGCCTGGGTCCCATGCCTCAGATTAACATTACAGTCATAAGCCACTCCTGTATATAAGTTCACTGTGAATATTTGTTTGACTGTTCCTGAGGCTGATAAGCCTCCTTGTACATTCGCATTTGTAACTGTACAATTCAGAGTTCCTTGCTGCGATTCTGATTGCTTTATGTGAACGTCTCTGAGGTGCTTTGTTGTAATTGTGTGTGTGTGTGTATATATATATATATATATACAGTTCCAAGAAAACGTATGTGAACCCCTTGGGATTACGTGGAGTTTTGCATGAATTGGGCATAAAATGTGCTCTGAACGTCATCTAAGTCACAACAATAGAAGAACACAGTCTGCTGAACATAATAATACTACACAAACATTAGATGTTGCCATGGTTTAATTGCACATAACATGTAAACATTCACAGTGCAGGGAGGAAAAAGTATGTGAACCTTTGGACTTAATAACTGGTTGACCCTCCTTTGGCAGCAATAACCTCAACCAAACATTTCCTGTAGTTGCAGATCAGACCTGCACAACCATCTGGAGTAATTTTGGACCACTCCTCTTCACAAAACTGTCTCAGTGTAGCAATATTCTTGGGATGTCTGGTGTGAATCGCTCTCTTAAGGTCATGCCACAGCATTTCAATCGGATTGAGGTCAGGACTCTGACTGGGCCACTCCAGAAGGCGTATTCTGTGCTGTTGCAGCCATTGTTTTGTTGAATTACTTGTATGCTTTGGGTCATTGTCCTGTTGCATCACCCATCCTCTGCGGAGCTTCAGTTGGCGGACAGATGGTCGTACGTTTTCCTGCAAAATGTCTTGATAAACTCTGGAATTCATTTTCCCATCAATGATAACAATCCGTCCAGGCCCTGAGGCAGCAAAGCAGTCCCAAACCATGATGCTCCCTCCGCCATGTTTTACAGTGGGGATGAGGTTTTGATGTTGGTGTGCTGTGCCTTTTTTTCTCCACACATAGTGTTGTGTGTTCTTCCCAAACAACTCAATCTTGGTTTCATCTGTATAACAGTATATTTTGCCAGTAGTGCTGTGGAACATCCAGGTGCTCTTTTGCAAACTTCAAACGTGCTGCAATATTCTTTTTGGACAGCAATGGCTTCCTCCGTGGTGTCCTCCCATGTACTCCATTCTTGTTTAATGTTTTCCTTATTGTAGATGTGTCAACAAAAATGTTAGAATGTGCCAGAGATTTCTGTAGGTCTTTAGCTGACACTCTGGGATTCTTCTTTACCTCATGCAGCATTCTGCACTGTGCTCTTGTAGTCATTTTTACAGGACGACCACGCCTAGGGAGAGTAGCAACAGTGCTAAACTTTCTCCATTTGTAGACAGTCTGTCTTACCATGGATACATGAACATCAAGGCTTTTGGAGATACTTTTGTAACCCTTTCCAGCTTCATGCAAGTCAACAATTCTTGATCCTAGGTCTTCTGAGAGCTCTTTTCTGCGAGGCATGGTTCACATCAGACAGTGCTTCTTGAAATCAGTAAACCCAAAACAGGTGTGTGTTTTATAAGGGCAGGACAGCTGTCAGCAACACATCCAATATCATCACACTGATTGGAGTCAAGGTTGGCTCACTCCTGGCTCCAATTAGCTCTGGGAGAAGTCATTAAGCTAGGGCCTCACATACTTTTTCCTCCCTGCACTGTGAATGTTTACATGTTATGTGCAATTAAACCATGGCAACATCTAATGTTTGTGTAGTATTATGTTCAGCAGACTGTGTTCTTCTATTGTTGTGACTTAGATGATGTTCAGAGCACATTTTATGCCCAATTCATGCAAAACTCCACGTAATCCCAAGGGGTTCACATACTTTTTCTTGCAACTGTATGTACATACATACATATACACACACAGAGGCATAACTCGGTTTACGAAAGCCTCGGTTAACGTAATTTTCGGTTTACGAATGAAACTCCAGTGAAAATAATGCCTCGGTTTATGAATTTTTTTCACAATGCAAAGCGTTTATAGAGCCGGCCCCGTGCCATTAATGTGCACTTAATAAAGAGTTTTGAACAGATAATACTTTTTTTTGACTTTTTTCTGATTTTCTGAGCTCCGGAACAGATTAATTGGTTTTCAATGCATTTATGAATTTGTTTTAATCATGTCCCTGTACAGTATTTATGCCTTTATAGTGCACTTTATAAAGAGTTTTGAACAGATAAAACTTTTTTGGACCTTTTTCTGACCTCCGGAATGGATTAATTGGTTTTCAATGCGTTTACGAATTCATTTTTAATCATGTCCCTGTACAGTATTTATGCCTCTAAAATGCACTTTATAAAAGATTTGAACAGATAAAAGACTTTTTTTCTACTTTTTTGACCTCCGGAACGTATTAATTGGTTTTCAATGTATTCCTATGGGAAACCGCATTTCGGTTTACGAATGTTTCGCAATACGAAACGTCCTGCAGAACGCATTCAATTCATAAACCGAGGTATGCATGTATGTGTGTGTGTGTGTGTATATATATATAAACCCAATAAAAATATTAAATATAAAAAATAACTCTAAAACAAGCCCTTACTGACCTCTCTAACACAAACCCTCACTCACCTCTCTAAAACAAGCCCCCATGCACCTCTCCAATGTGTATTGCAAATTAATTCATTCAGTCTGTTAAGAGTATGTAAATTCTTTACTTACTTAGTCTGGGTATATGTGCACATTAAGGATCTTGCCTCCCTGATGTTTCAAAATGTCAGGAGACCCCTTCTTTTTAAGGATATTTAAACCCATAAAAAGCAAATTGACCAACTAAACTAAACAATATACAAGTGTGATCATTAGGAAATGCTTCTAAAAACAGAACTGGCCAGACAGTGGCATTTGGGGCAATAACTTAATAGACAGTGGCTCCATGTGCTTTAGTGTTGTCTGCCTCTAGTTTTCACCTGGGATATGGGGAGGCAAGGTCTGTGCAGTTCTGTAAATTCATACCGTAAGCCAACACATCACAGACTCTATTCCCTATATCCCAAAAGCTGTAGGTAGACGGGAGTGGGGAGTACAAAGCTTGCTAACCAATGTCTCGCTGCCACAGGCTGTCTGGTTTTAAACTGTGCGGTCTGCACCCTCTGATACTTCCTAATAATTACATTTAGCTTTCCTACTGAATTCGCTAAAATATTTTGTGTGGGAGTAGTTACCTACTAAGGTGCAGAAGCTCTCTTTTTACATCAGATCAAGTTATTTTAGAATTTGTGGGCAAATAAAAAAGTGCATACATTACACTGTTTAATCTTAATCTGTTCTTGCCTACCCATCAGAGCTACAGTGTGATATTTTCTTATGGGAGATACAAACATTTAAGCAGCCATAGATTATAGAATTTTCTACAACCAACGAATGCTTGATTCCCCCATCAACACTGAATCCCTCCCATAGCGCTAGTGTTCTGCTGGAGGGGAGCTTTCTTCACCAGCAGAGCACAATGATCACTGATAGCGGATATAGCCGTTGGCAGAGATCAAAAGAAAAAAATCTGACAGGCTGGTTGTACTGAAGGCGATAATGGATCGATTTGTTGATTTTCTTGTTTGTTTAATGGATCGACTTGGGTACAACCAGCCTGCCCATAGATTAATCGAATCTCAGCTGGTCCCTGCTGAACTGGCTGAGATTCAATCCATCTATGCACGGCTTTAGAAACCTTCACAAGTTACAGTTTGTTTAAAATTCAAACTGAAACCTTGTTAGTTACTAAGGTATTGGGATGCCTGTTAGAGTTTTGTTTTGTGTTTTTTTTGTTGTTTTTTTTTCTGCCCTGAGGACAAGATACTAGATCTACCAAGGCTTGAGCATCCTCAGACTTCTACACCCACAGCCTGGATTTATCTCAGTGGAAGAATTGTGCATTCCTAATTTCTGACCTGAGAAGAAGCGCGTGACAGATAGAGGCAACAGTCTGAGGAAGGTCAGGGGCTCGGAGAAAGACAGGGAGAAGTTGCTTGAGATGTAGCCAAGTCCCACCACCATGGAGTGGAAACAGCTGCAGGAAGCATGGAGGCAGAGCAAGACAAAACTGCGCAGATTGCTGCGACTAATACATGTCCCAGTGAAGAAGCAGTGGTGTTCCTGGTCCCCCAATACTCGCACACATATCCAGCAGAATGGTTTATCTGCCGCTTCAGCCTCTCCGCCATGTCCACCGGTAGCCGGGCTCTTCCAGATGACCAAAATGTAATTCCCAACAACATTGATAAGAAAGAAGAAGAACATGGATGAATGAAGGAGGCCAGAGAGTGTTAAAGATTGCCCATCACACATGCCCGGAAGGAAGAAGAAGATTTGAAGACAGAACGTCACAGCAAGGAGACACAGGAAGTAAAATGGGGCCATTAGGTTTAGTATATGCAAGAGAAGCATGACGTACAGAACAGCCCCACCATGGCAGGAGGTCTGTCCACACAATAAACTCAACCTGCAGGGAGCATTAATTTCCAACTTTTAGCCGGACCACCAGAGTGACCAATGTTCCTATGCAGGGAACAGAAAAAAAAAGGAGGTTAGTACCAAACTATAAGAGGACTTGTCACACTCGCACAGACCCAAAGCCATCCTGTGTCTTGCTGCACAGTGATACTAGAGCAGCCTTTCTCAACCTTTTTGAACCCTCCATTCTGAGGGAACTTGTGCTAAAAATTATTATATCTACAACTCCTGATATATTAGTGTAATGGTCAGTGGGAAGAATGCTCCTTACACTTGTGGTCATTGAGAAGAATCCACCTCTTACAAATAGCTAAAAACACCAATGGTGTCCATGGGAACTTATTCAAGAGGCAGAACTTTCTCATTGCTCAAGGAACTCCTAGCACCCTTTGGAGGAACCCTGGTTGAAAAGCCCTGTACTAGAGGATGACAGGTAGTTATTAGCTTGCATTCACCAATATATCCTTCTAGTACATATCTCCCTTTGCCACGGGTACACTTTAATGGTAACATTGCCATTCATTATCATTATATAACACACAGGATAATGAGAAACTACCAGTGACAGTTCTCTCATAAGAATAACTTGGAGTCCCATCTTCTCCTATTACAGCCTATCATGAGTACCGGTGGAGCTTGAAGCTGAACTCCAGGCAAACCACTAAATACTCATCTTAAATATTTACATGGGAGCTGTTTTACCTGCTAAATTATTTGTTTTTCGGTGCAGTAAATCCCGGGATTTACAGAGCCCTACCAGATAGCACAGCCAGCCCGGAAACCTGACTTTTCATTACTACCTATAGTAGTTATTGGTCACATTCAACTGGACTTGTTCTGTAATATTGAAGACATCTCGTAGCTTATCCACTTCTTCGGTTCTAATGAATATCAGGAAGATGCACCAGGTAGCAAAGACACCTTAATCCAAGCACCATGGAAAGGCAGTTGTTACTGTCCAAGAACAGTATGGGAGGTGTAAAAGTTTTAGTTGTTCTGGGTGTCAGGAAGACTTGGTATTAATCCTTGTATTTACATGGCAGCATTTGTGAATTGTTATCAAATTGCTGGGGTATAGATGTTAGAATGGTATATGTGGAAGACAAATGGTGTTGAAGGTCCCACCCCTGGTCAGAGATGGTTGTTCCAGTTTGACATTGATGGTCTCTTTTACACCTCGTGCAAACCAGTTATTCTTTCTGTACAAAATGTGCACCTCACTACCTTTAAAAGAACCATGATTTGTGAAAATTTCCCTCCTGTGTTGGACCATTTGTTTGTTGAGAGGTTGCCTCATAATCACAGAGTAGAGGTCTTTTTATTCCTACTGAGTCACTTTGCTTGTGTTTTGGTGTTGTGTCTTTTGGATGTAGAAGCTTCCATCTCAGTGTATTGCTGGACTTGAAAAACATGGGAATGTGATCTTTGGTGAAGGTCCTTCTGAGTTTTTTCGACAATCCAGCTACATATAGGATCACTGTATTATTCCATGTGTTTTCCTTCTTCCTTCTCCTCTCTGATGGACCTGTGTTTTCGGTTGACCTTGTGGGTGTTTTGAAAAACGAAAGCCCAGTCTGGGTAGCCACAAACTTTGAATGTCCTCTTGAAATATTGGTGTTCCTTGACTTTAGACTCTGTGTTTGCTGTTAATGTATGTCTTCCGCATTTAATGTCATTTTTAACATCTCTCCCGGGTGTTATGACAACAATTCACACCTTCAGGCATGTAAATCTAAGGATTAACACCTATGAAGCCTTCCTCTCACTACAAGGATGAGATTATGTAACTAGAACAGGGTGGTTCCACAACTTTTACACCTCCCATACTGTTCTTGGACAATAACATCTGCCTCTCCCTGGTGATTGGATTAAGGGTGTTTTTGCTACCCTCTGCAATATAAATGCAGTCATATTTTCCTGACACTCATTAGAACTGCAGAAGTAGCTTGCATCAGCTATGAAATGTCTTCAAAATTACAGGACAAGTCCAGTTGAATGTGACCAACTACTACTGGATACACCAATACCTGGATAAATGAGACCCTGTTCCATTACTGCAGTTAACAGCTTTCCCTTCAGTCTTGCACAGTTATACAGGGATCTCTCCTATACCGAATTTGCTTACTTGGACTTCACTGCACACTGTGTGCATTAGAAACTGAACCACGTCAGACAGAACCCAACTCATTCCCTCGCTGGAGGACATCCAGCATCATCTAGGTCTTGTTTCTACCCCCAGACTGTGACTGGAGAAATGGAAGACTAGTGAAAGGAGAAATGAAAGACTATGAGCTCATGTTTCTTTCTGCTTGCTCCTCCTATCAGCATGCTTCTTGTTAGGACATGAACTGATTGGCTCCTTGTGCTGCTTCTTCCTCTCACACTCCAGCTCTGCTGTACAGGGATTGCAACAGGCTATACCAGATCAGATTCAGGTAATTAAAGTCCTGTATAATAATAATTATATATATATATATATATATATATACACACTGTACTCACACTGTATACTTTGCACGCTGTATACATAGTTACATAGTTAGCCTAGCTGAAAAAAGACAAAAGTCCATCCAGTTCAACCAAAAAAAAAAAATTTTAATCCTACGTGAACAGTTGATCCACAGGAAGGCAAAAAACCCAGCAAAGCATGATCCAATTTGCTCCTGCAGGGGGAAAAAATCCTTCCTGATCCCCCGAGAGGCAATCGGATATTCCCTGGATCAACTTTACCTATAAATGTTATATCCAGTTATATTCTGTGTATCCAAGAAAGAATCCAGGACTTTTTTTAAAGCAATCCACTGAGCTGGCCAGAACCAACTCTTGAGGGAGTCTATTCCACCTTTCCGTGTTTGGAAATTAAATCTCTTTTCCTCCGGACGTAAAGAGTTGCCCCCTTGTCCTCTGTGATGATCTCAGGGTGATTAGCTCTACACCGAATTCACTATATGAACCACTGATGTATTATACATGGAGATCATATCCCCCTTATGTATTATACATGGAGATCATATCCCCCCTTATGTATTATACATGGAGATCATATCCCCCCTTATGTATTATACATGGAGATCATATCCCCCCTTATGTGTTATACATGGTGATCATATTCCCCTCCCCTTATGTATTATACGTGGTGATCATATCCCCCCTTATGTATTATACATGGAGATCATATCCCCCCCCTTATGTATTATACATGGAGATCATATCCCCCCTTATGTATTATACATGGATATCATATCCCCCTTATGTATTATACATGGAGATCATATCCCCCCTTATGTATTATACATGCTGATCATATCTCCCCTTATGTATTATACATGGATATCATATCCCCCTTATGTATTATACATGGAGATCATATCCCCCTTATGTATTATACATGGAGATCATATCCCCCTTATGTATTATACATGGAGATCAAATCCCCCCTTATGTATTATACATGGAGATCTTATCCCCCCTTATGTATTATATATGGAGATCATATCCCCCCTTATGTATTATACATGGAGATCATATCACCCCTTATGTATTATACATGGAGATCATATCCCCCCTTATGTATTCTACATGGAGATCATATCCCCCCTTATGTATTATACATGGAGATCATATCCCCCCCTTATGTATTCTACATGGAGATCATATCCCCCCCTTATGTATTCTACATGGAGATCATATCCCCCCCTTATGCATTCTACATGGAAATCATATCCCCCCTTATGTATTATACATGGAGATAATATTACCCCTTATGTATTATACATGGAGATAATATCCCCCCTTATGTATTATACATGGAGATCATATTCCCCCTTATGTATTATACATGGAGATCATATCCTCCCTTATGTATTATACATGGAGATCATATCCCCCTTATGTATTATACATGGAGATCAAATCCCCCCTTATGTATTATACATGTCGGTCATATCCCCCCTTATGTATTATACATGGAGATCATATCCTCCCTTATGTATTATACATGGAGATCACATCCCCCCTTATGTATTATACATGGTGATCATATCCCCCTTATGTATTATACATGGTGATCATATCCCCCCTTATGTATTATACATGGAGATCTTATCCCCCCTTATGTATTATACATGGAGATCATATCCCCCTTATGTATTATACATGGTGATCATATCCCCCCCTTATGTATTATACATGGTGATCATATCCCCCCTTATGTATTATACATGGAGATCACATCCCCCCTTATGTATTATACATGGTGATCATATCCCCCTTATGTATTATACATGGAGATCATATCCCCCCCTTATGTATTATACATGGAGATCATATCCCCCCTTATGTATTATACATGGAGATCAAATCCCCCCTTATGTATTATACATGGTGATCATATCCCCCCTTATGTATTATACATGGAGATCATATCCCCCCTTATGTATTATACATGGTGATCATATCCCCCCTTATGTATTATACATGGAGATCATATCCCCCCTTATGTATTATACATGGAGATCATATCCCCCCTTAATCTCTTCTTCTTAAGAGAGAATAAATTCAGTTCCTCTAATCATTCCTCATAGCTGATCTCCTCCATGCCTCTTATCAGTTTGGTTGCTCTTCTCTGTACTTTCTCCAGTTCCCCAATGTTCTTTTTGTGAATTGGAGCCCAAAACTGAACTGCATATTACAGATGAGGTATTACTAATGATTTGTACCGGGGGGGGGGGGTGTAATATGATATCTCCCTCTCTGGAGTCTATACCTCTTTTAATACAAGAGAGGATTTTGCTCGCTTTAGAACCCCCAGCTTGGCATTGCTGCCATTATTAAGCTTGTGATCTACCAGAACCCCCAGATCCTTCTCCACTATTGACCCCCCCAGTTGTACCCCCCCTAGTATGTATGATGCATGCATATTCTTAGCCCCCAAG